ATAAACATTTCGATTCTTACAAATATAGTAATAATTTATATATATAAAAAAAAATATATATAAATTTATTTTAAAAATAAATTGAAATAATCAACAAAATTATTTAAAATAATTTTTGATAGTATTTTGATGTTCTGGTAAAATTAATTCAATATCAGGATTTTTTGAACCTATATATGCTAGTCTGTCTGCTTGTTTATTCTTATAAATACCACTATGGCCTTTTATATGTTTTAAATATATTTTTCCTTTACATTCTTTGATTAAATCATTGAATCTATTAACTAAATCAAAATTTTTTTTGTTTTTTGACATCACAGGAATTAATAACATATATACTATCAGTATTAATTATTAAATTTTCATTTTTATTACAAATTTCAAGAGCTCTAATTGCTGCATAAATTTCAGCACAGTTGTTAGTTTGTTGTTTTTCTAATAATCATTCAGATAAATTTCTGATATCTTTGTCTCCAAAAAAGACTCCAATATCACCAATCACATATGATAAACTATTTCTTTTACAATAACCATCTGTCTATACATTTAATGTATCTTTAATATAATCAATATTTTGTTGATCTATAAAATTTTGAGTCTTGATCTTTGTATAAAATGATTTGTACAAAGCTTCAGGATATCCATTGATATATTCTTTACATTCTTTCTATAATGTAAAAATCTCTGTCTTTTCTTCTTTTGCTATAGCATAATATTTTAATAAAGTAATTTTAGGCATCTGGATTTACAGCATAAATAATTCAAGCAAATGAATTACAATTATGAATACCAGTTGACAAACAACCTATAATGAAGTAGCTGAGTTAGCAGAAAATAAGAGTTAGTAAAATTTATTACATAAAGTAAAGAGTATTACAGGTTATGAATCTCTCTTACTTTAAAAAAATAATGAAGATTATATGAAAAAAAAATCTAATCTGTCACACAAGACTGATTAGATTGTTTAGACCAATCAAGAACTTAAAAGAAAAATAATGTTATACAAACAATGAAAAGTAAAAATGTGAAAGATTTTGCTAATTCAATCAAACAAAATGATAAATTTGAACCAATTTTGATATTCAGTTCAAAAGCCATTTTTAATGAAAAGAAGGAAAATAATGTGGGTTTATATATTTTTAGATTATATTATTTTATT